GAAAATAGCACGGACAGCGAGCCACCATTTCTGATCCAGGACTTCATTCATGCCTTCCAGCCCCATGCCAAGCTGATCGTCATGCTCAGGGATCCTGTGGAGAGGTAAGTGTAGTAGGGCTGAAAAGAAAAGGCAGTGTTTTTTATTTCTTTCCCCCCAAATAAAAGATCTCATGTATTTATTACCGAACCAGCCTAATAAGGCAGAAACATAAAAACAGAGAAAAAGCACATACAGTTGTTCAGATGGTGGTGAAATCTTCAGCTTGCTATTGTACAATGCTAGCGAACTCCGTAGAGCATGAATGTGTCTGCCATCACAGGTATGACTCCTTATAGACCCAGCTTGTTTCTTCTCAAGGAAAAGGCAATTGAAAAAAATTTATTTTGGTAAAATATATGCGTATAAAAGTTTGCCACATTAACCATTTTTAAGTGTACCATTCAGTGACGTTATATTACACTCACCACGTTGTACAGTCATCACCTCTATCCATTTCCAAAAGTGTCTCGTCACCCCACTAGAAACTCAGGGCTCCTCCAGCAGCGACTCCCATTCCCTCCTTTTCCCCCTGCCCCTGGTAACCACTAGTAAACTCTCTGCATTTGCCTGTTGTGGATATTTCTTATAAGTGGGCTCATACTGTTAAAACAAAAATCGTATTAAGCCAATAATAAAAATTGATCCAGAGTTAATTAAATATATACAATTTGCAAATTGGGTAACATTTCAACCGGAGAGTCAAACATGTTCCGAAGATGAGAGAACCTCGAAACACTCTTACCAAATCTTACTGGCGTTGCCATGGTAAAAAGGGTCGGAACAGAACTGATAACCAAATTTGTGGTCAGAAAGGATTTTCATATAGCTTTGTCTTAATAACAAGTAAAATAATCACCGATACCTTAAGTATAGTGTCCTAGACTGAGTTTTCTAGACTCAAGAAGCAGAATCAGTGAAGCATATATATGTATAGAGAGAGTGAGAGAGATTTATATCAGGGGAATGGCTCACATGGTTGTAGGGGCTGGAAAATCTTAAGTTGGTGGGTCAGGCTTCAGGCTGGAGGCTTCTCTTGACACGTAGCTGCAGGGGCTGATGAATCCAAGATCAGCAGGTCAGATGGCAAGCTGCTGGCTTGTGGGCTGCAGAGGCTGACAGACCGAAGATTGGTAGGTCAGACGGCAGGCTATTAGCTCATGGGCTGCAGAGGCTGAGGAATCCAAGATCGGTAGGTTGGACGGTAGGCTGTTGGCTCAAGTCCCAAGAACTGGAGGTCAGACGATGACGAGCCAGATGCAGGATACAGAGTAGAGCAAACACCAGCAAGTTTTGCCAGAAAGTTCATATATATTGGATGCAGGCCACACCCACAAGGAAACTCCTTTCCCGCTGATTGTGTGCTCATAGGAGATCTCATCATGGAGATTACATCATTACGTGATTGCCAAACCACATCATAACTGCCAAACCACTGAGAAGCACGCCCAGCCAAGTTGACATACAACCTTAACCGTCATACATAGCTCACAGGCTGACCCTTAGAGTCTATTCCCCAGAACTGACTGAATTCTTCAAAAGAACACAATGCCCAAGGCAAAATGGTCTTACTGGTTTATCTAGACCATTGTTTGACTCAAAAGTGCTTTTAGGAGCCAGTTTTTTCAAGGCTCAGGTGGTTTGAAAGGACACCTAAGGTCAGTGGCCTGTGTGGGTTACCCCAACTTCCATGAAAGCCAGAAATCTGGATTCCAGGAGAACTAAAATGGTTTCTCAATACACTGTTTGTCCCTTTGTGTCTGACTGACTTCATTCAGCTTGATGTTTTCAAGGTTCATCCATGTCCTTAGGAAAAGGGAATTTTGAAGAGCAGTTTTTTTTTCTCATCACCAACAAGATTATGTCTATGTTTTTTAAATAAACAAACTTAACTTGCAATGTTACTGCTATTTCTTATGTAAATGTTATTCTTGGGGCAATCCTTGCTATGTTGAAAGGAATTGTGGATTGTTTTCTCAGCCATTCTGACCCTTGGGCCTTCAGCCTCTGGCACATCTGACCTGGCGACATGGGAGGGGTCTTCCGGTCTTCCGCTACTGTCAGGACGCTGGTTGTGTGTGGGGGAGGGTTCCGTGCTGGTTTAACTCCTAGAATTTCGTTATCTCCCACTTGATAAGCAGCTCTGGAACCTTGTCGGCTCTGCCTGTGATTCTCAGGCTTTTCTTGAGAAACCAAAAGGGAGTAAAGTGAAAGAGAGCTGCTTTGTCTTAAAGATCAGGGCTGGCCCAATACGGATGAGGCAAAGCCAGCAGGATATTGAAGAGCCAGCACTGAGGTAGCTTGGCCAGTGCCCGGCAATGCTGGAATCATTGTGATGCCTGGGGGGACCACAGAATCTTGGGAAAATCATTTCATCCAGCCCCCACCCCCAATACCAGCACATCAGAGATATGAGGCCTCAGTCTGTTCCAGGACCCAAGATGGCCCTTCCAGCTCTGTGACAAAGTTCCTCCTTATTCCGAGTCCAGGTCTGTCTTTTGGAGGCATCTACACTTTGGTTCTGTTCCTTCCCCTCAAAACTAGTCTAAGCCTTCGAGAGCCTGCCTGATGTGCAAAGAGAGCAGCCCCGGCCCTTTGTGTCTTTTTTCCTTTGGATTTTGCCCCCCGCCCCCATTCCTTCCTTAGACGGCCTGCCTCTGTGGCCCCACATACTTGCCAGTTATAAAAATAATAACAGGTTTGTTGTGGAAATTTTAGATAATACAGTGGAAAACTATAAAGGAAACATACTTTAAAAAAAACCTATAATCTCCCACTCAGAGTTAACTATTATTTTGGTTTATTTTCTTCCAGATGTTTTCTTCTATTCAGATAAATATATTGAGTAGGTATGTGTGAATGTGTGTGTGTGAGAGAGCGTGAGAGAGCTCAGTTGTGTGAATATATGATCTTAAGTTTTGCTTCGTTCATTTAACACTGTTGGCCCCAAATGACTTTAAGGTGGCCCTGTTCACTCGTCCCTGAATTTATCTCTGTGTGCACCCCTTTGTGGAGTTCTCAGAACAGACCCCGCTGAGTAGCTGGATTACCCCTTCCCTCAATCCCCACCCCAGCCTCCATTAAGCTGCCTGAACACGTTTGCTGTCTTAGGCCACGGTACCTGGCTCTCGCCTTGCAGTGTGTGCTTTCACTCTGCTTTCTCTATGTCGTCCAGCCTCAGGAATCCTTTCTTCCCTCTGTTCCCAGGCAGTGCTGGCCTTGGGGCAGCACCCCGTGTCCTACCTGGTGGTTCCCATACACTCAGAGGCCGAGGCTTGGTCCTTTAGCGGGCTGGTCTCTCTCGGAGAGAGGACAGTTGACACAAACCAGTGGTGCTCCCATGTAGACCAAGATTACATAACTGTCAGCCTCAGAAGGAAAGGCCCAGTGACTGCGCCGGCCCCTCACCGCCCACTGAGGTGTTTTCCCAGCTGCTTTGCCCCTTCCCCGAAGCCCTCCTTAGCTGAAGTTCACAAGGCCGGAACGTTTTCTCAGGAGTGTCTTTCTTTCACACGTCTCTAGTCCTCATTCTGAGGACGGTCAGGCTGGCCTGCACTTCAGAGGGCCGTGGAGAGAGGCAGACTTCACCGTCTGTAGCTCTGTGGGCCAGAGAAGTAGGAGCTGGTCTGCCTCTGGACTCAGCGTAACGACTGTGTGAGGTGTGTGCCCACATGCCAGTCTGTTCTCAGCCCTGGGGATACAGGGCTGGTTGGAGAGACAGGCGTGGCCATGATTTGTCTTGGTCCCACAGATTCAGCAAGATCCTTATGGGATGAGAGAGGGGTTGCTGAAGAGGAAGTGAGCCCTGGGCAGGACGCCGAGGAAGGCTGTCCTGGAGGAGCCTTGCAAGCTGGGTGTTATAGAATGAGCCGAGTTTGTCAGGCAAACAAAGGACAGTGGGCCAACAGGAAGAACCACACTGAGCAAAGAGAACGGCAAAAAACACACGCTGTCTTGCGAGGAGCAGAACCAGTTTTCCCAAATGTGTCTTTTTCTTCCCAGAGTTCTGTTTCTACCTCAGAGGACAGGAGCACGATGAGGAGGGGACTTTGAGTGGGGAGGGCAGCTAGAGCTGTCCAGGGTCACAGAGCTGAGCCAGAAGTGGGGTCCCAGCCAGGGCTGCCATCTTGTACAGAGATTCTTGGTTCATGACATGGTATCCCCAGTGGTCACCATGAGGTTTCTTTTCTTGCTTTCTTTTTTTTTAATAACAAATACTCTTATTTATACTAGGAACTGAAAGTGAAGGTTTCTTGCCTTCCTAGTCCTCAACTTAGCAGAAATAGTTCATCAATTCAAAATTTGTTGAGCCCCTACCACATGCTGGCTGCTGAACAAACACACCATTGTGAATGATGGAGACCCTGTGCCTGCCCTCTGGGAGCTCGCACCTTGTCAGCGAAGCAAGGCATTGACACTGTCATGACAAATTTGATGATTCTGAAAAGAAGAACAGGCTGCCACGCAGATTGTGTATCAGGGAGCCAACTGCATTGTCCTGTCTGTCAACTTCTTGTACTGTGGTGGCTTGTGTGTTGCTCTGATGCTGGAAGCTCTGCCACTGGTATTTCAAATACCAGCAGGGTCATCCATGGTGGACAAGTTTCAGTGGCACTTCTAGACTAAGACAGACTAGGAAGAAAGGCCTGGTGATCTACTTCTGAAAATTAGCCAACAAAAACCCTATGGATCACAACAGAACATTGTCCAACTTTCTTGCTTTGGACATGTGATCAGGAGGGAGCAATTGTTGGAGGAGGACATCATGTTTGGTGAAGTAGAGGGTCAGAGTGGGCAAGGAAGACCCTTGGTGAGATGGATTGGTACAGTAGCCGAAATGATGGACTTGAACATGCCAGTGATTGTGAGGATGAAGCAAGATTGGGCAGTATTTTCGTTCTGTTGTACATAAGGTTACCAAGAGTTGTACTGGACGTGATGGCAGCTAATAACAGCAACCCAGTCATGGGGTTGCCTGCTGTATCAGTTATCGATTGCTGTGTAACAGATAGCCCCAAAACTTAGCAGTTGAAAACCACACACATTTATCATTTCACAGTTTCTG